GTCTAGGGTGAAATAAGTGATGAAGCAAGTTTGAGGAATAGGCCTATTTCCCCTCCCTTCTTCCCTTCCTTCCTCTCTTAGTCCCTCCTCCCTTCCCCACCTCTATTTATTTCATTTTTTCTTATAGTTAAAAGATGAGGATTTCCTCTGTATTTAGAGACTTATGATTTGTATGTGCTAAATTCAAGTATAATTTTTAATATTTCTCAGGGATCAGAATATTTCTCCCCCCTTTTCCTCCCCTTTCCTCCTATTTTCCTTCCCTCCCTCCCCCCCTCCCCTCCTAGAACCCCCTCACTCCTCTTGGAGGCAATAGGTGGGATTAGGTATAGATCCCTTAGCACTCTAGATGGCCTCTCCAGCACCCTATCCCACTTTATTCTGAGTGGCCCATTTTCTGTTTTCTTTCTTGTGGAGAGATTCCCGATTCCTGTTAGCTCTGCCTTAAGAACAAGACAGCGAGTGTAAGAGAGGGTTTGCAGTGAGTGTGTTTAATGTAAAAGGAGAAGCAAATAGGCTCTCAGAGGCCTGTGACTGTCTGAAAAGAAATTTCCCCCTAAGCAGAGGTACCCCCTCTTGCTATGAAAAAAGAAGAAGAAAAGCGACAACATCTGGTGGGTTGGCCTATCTAGATCCAGCTCAGTCCTGCCAGTAGAACTGGGGTCTCTGCTTGCTAGTTGCAGTCTTTCTAGGAAAGGGGGCTGCTGCTCCTCCACCTGCCTCTTCTGCTGCAGCGCAGGGTCCTGGTGGGGCTGTGACCCTGTGGAGTGCAGTCATGTGACATTGGGGGTAGCTGGGGATTGGTGAGGAGCCAGCCTGAGTGGTTTAACTTTATTGCCTTTCTGTGGTCAGCTTTATTGTTTCTTTGGGCATGGGCTCACTAGGTGCAATTAGAGAGCCAACCTTGCTTGATCTCTCTGATGCTCACATTTTCTGTTTAGCAAGGACATGGCATGGGGACAAGGATGGTCTGCCAAGCAAGCCATGCAAAATGTATAAATTGGACCAGTCAAATGGCCAACAAATCTTAAGATATTTGCTTGATTCCTGGAAGTTATGCTCCAAGATATTTGCTTGATTTCTGGAAGTTATGCTCCAAGCAAAGTCCATGCCAGGGTCAGGCCATCTGGCTGGCCCCCATCACTTTTGATATTTTAGAAAGCAGGAAATTCCAGTTCTTGCAAGAGAAAGTGAGTTGCTTCAAGGACTGGATTGTAGGTACGTATTCCAACGTAATGGAGAGCATGATTCATCGGCAACAAAATAGACAGACGCTGGAGCAGGGGCTGAGAGTTGAGGAGGAGATGGGAGGAGTCCAGCCACAGAGAACTGGGGCAGGCGGCAAGGGGGGGGGAGGGCAGACTGGAAGGAAGCAGCCGGTGTTACTAAGCGTCTGGTGGTACAGCCCTGGTTAAGCAAAAAGGCTCCAAGGCAGGCCAGCCTGGATTTTGAGGTCTTGTTGCACTCCTTGCTAACTGTGCAATTTTAGGTGAGTCAGTAAACCTCTCTGTGCACCAGTTTCCATACCTACACATAAAGATACTATTTATCCCTGGGGCTTGTTGTGAGGAAAGCGTGAGTGAATCACAAAGCTCTCAGCCCAGTGCTTGGCACATCGATGGTAATTATTTTTACTCTGCTTGATCCTCATATGAAGTGAGGGGATAAAATAAAAGCTGATTTAAAACTTGTCTACAGAATTCCTTGAGTGCCAGGAAGAACTGTCATTTGGTTGCTGGGATGTTGGGAAGGCCTGGGAGTGAGACCAAGGGGACAAAAATTTTTCTACAAAATAGAGTCAGTGGAATTGGACTTTCTGCAGAGTTTATGAGGGGAAGCATGCATATGTGTGTGAGGGGTGGAAATGGGGAGAAGGAGGACATAGAAACAGGCGGGAAGGAGGGGGAGTCAGTGCGCACGGTGGAGGGCTGAACCCAAGAGGAATGCTGTCCCTGCAGCAATGCCCCGTGGCTGGGACCACAGCAGCCTCCCGGGACAGGGGCACAGTACGCCATGTGCATGGTCCTCTGCGTGAACTGCACCGCCCGCCCGCTTTCTCCGCACCCCGAAGCCTGCTGTAAACGTTGCTATACACAAGGCAGGGTGCTGTGCGAACTCGGGAAAGAAGGCAGAGGTGTCCGCAGTCTGTGGTTTGGACAAATAAGCCATATAACATGAGCACACGCAAGGTTCAAAATGTGGTGGAAACGGAAGATCGGAACAAGAGGTTAGGAGAAGCAGCACAAGCCTCGCCCTCCCAGCAGCTCCCCTGGGTTCCTCGCCATATATGGGCTGGAGTGAAGCCATTTTATTGGTGATGAAAGAATAGAGTGGACCATGTGTCCAAAGGACACAGGTGACAGAGACGGTTGTACGTGCTGTCCCATGTCACCCTGTCAGCGGCTCTGTGCGAGATTTATTAACTCTGTTTTCTGGACGAGAAGAGGAGGGTGGGATGGGAGGTTCTCCCCAGACTCTTGCTGGCCCACAGTCCTGGCTGAACCCCAGAGCAGTCTACTGAGTCCTAAGCACAACAGAGCAAGTGTGAGGTGGCTGCAGGTGACCAGTGTTTTGGGCGGGAATAGGAAGCTTTTGTCTTGGGACTGAGAACTCCTTTCCCTACACAAAGGGCTTGGTTTTCCGTGGTTTCCCTGCAGCTAGTTGTCAGGCTGTGCTGTTACTTTAGTGCACAGGCATGGCCCTGCTTCCTAGGCTCTGGGTTGCTCCCCATTTCCTGCTGCTGGTGGACAGTTTCCATCAGCCGGTGGCACAGGGGTCCCGGAAAGTGTCTGGCTTCTGCCCTGGTCCACACCAGTGACAAACCACATGCTGCCCCTGGAGCACCCTCCCAGGAGTTTCTGGGAGCTGCTTCCACTCTGCCTGGAACATCTTGCAATGGCTTTTCAAAGGAGACAAGATGCTGCGTGTGCCTGTGTAAGGCGGGCTTGCTGGGGGCAGGAGCCCTGGCTGCAGATTGCCTCAAGGGCTTTGTTAGAGTTTTTCTTATATATTCACCTATTAAACAACAGAATTATCATAAAGTGTCAAAGCTGGAAGGACTTTCCAGTTCATTGAGTATATTCAGTTACAGACGAGGCCCGGGGAGGAAGAAAGATGTGCCCAGAGAAACAGCTGCGGGAGTGAAGGTTGGTTCTGGAGACCAGGTCTTGCTCCCCGGGACTATACTTTCTACCTCTCCTTCCCAGCAGGCCTGCAGTCTGCCCCGTGAAGGGGAGAGTAGGCTTGCATTAAAAGCAGGAGCAAGCTAGGGACCACACACAGTGGGTGATGGGCGCTTATGGCTGAAGCATGTCATGCAGGGAAATGGAGAGGAACCCGGACGACCAGCAGCTCCTTGGACGACCTTAGACAAGTTGCCTTGATTGCATGGGCCTCAGCTTCTCACCTGCAAAATGGGATCACTAAATCCTCATGTTGCTCGCTCCCAGGAGGGAGGTAAGATCTACCCAAGGGAGTACTGGAAGGCCCTTTCCAAAACTTCCATAGCCCTACTGGGGATTTTTATTAGTATTTTTATGCTAATGTTGCAGAAACATTAAATTGTAAACTGAGACTGGATTAGTTTCTCTTCTGATAATTCACAGTGATGGCCAAGATAAGAAGAGATCTGACTGTGATCTAGTCCATGGCGCCCACATTTTGGATTTCATGGATCAATGAAATTACCCCAAGTGAAAATTCAGTGACCCATACAGAGCGGGCAGCTTTTGATTTTGCCTATTGTGACCATTAAAACAAAAATATAAGTTGGACAAAAAGCAAACCAACTTAACTTCCATCCAAATCAGCTTCATCTTATAAAAGACCATTTTAACATTTTAGAAAAGTATATACTCTTAGAGCAAAGGAGTGCCCCTTACTTACAAATAATTGGCTCTGAGAAAATGGGTGACCTTGTCTTCCTTTTTCTGATTCCACTCTGGACTGGTGGAAACTATCATAGGGGAAGAACCACTAGTTAAAACCCCTGTGCTTGGCAGCCTATGATGGGAGCTCTCTCCAGGGGCCGTGCTGTGATGTTGTTGGTGTGAGAGGCTGTGTCCAGACACTGTGTCCTCCTTTGGTCCTAAGGATGCTCTGGTGTGTCTACCTGGGTGCCTATGATAACCCATCCTTTCTCTTTTCCTTTTTTTTTCTCTCTGAGCTGTCTAGTTATCCAGCTGTGCTTGTTACCTAGATTCTAAAGATTACAGAACTGAGGTGGGTTAATGTTCTTGGGTGATAAGACCACTGGATTAGAGATGAGGACATCTGGATTCTAGGTTTGGCTCCATATGTCCTTGGACACAACACTTCTCCTCCTTTGTGCTATGGAAAGATTATTCAGATGATCTCAATGTTTTCACCTTTGTTGTGACCCTAACTCTGCTTACCAGCCCTCTGGAGTAGAGACAAATGCATTTTAGTGACTTCAATGATAGGAAGTGTGGAGGGGTGGGGTGGAGAAGAAGGTCTGTTTTCCCAAGTCCTCAACTGCATTATGCATTTTGGCTGCTACCAGTTATTTAATGATTACTATGTATTTGTCGCCATGCCAAGCAATGTATGGATGAGATCTGATTGGCTTCTTGAATACCTTCATAAGATAGTAGTATTATTCCCATTTCATAAATAAGGAACTGAGGTTCCTACGTGGAATGTAGAGCCAAGACTCAAACCCACATTTGCCTGACTCCAGATTTCAGGCTCTTAACACAACACTGCTTTGTGTTCCTGTCCATGTTTATGCGACAGCCTATGCCAGAGGTAGAATTTTCATCAGTGGGAGAGGTGAGGGGTGGTGGGAGACTTGTGGGGATGAGCTTGTGGATCACAGCCTGCTCTGGTGTATCAATTTGCAGCAGCTCCGCCGTAAGCAGCCCACCTCTGCCTCCACCCTCTTTTCTGTTGGGCGCTGCCATGATGTCTCTCGCTGTTGAACAACTATGATGTCATGTGGATGATTCACTACACATTTACTCCTAACCCCAAGGTCTTACCTCCTTTAAGGGGGAATTTTCCTGGGGGAGTTGGAATGGAGTCCTAGAAGAGAAGAAAGAAAGAAAGAGAAAAAAAGAAAATGGTGTGAGGAAGATATTCAATTGAAACAACTCATCTTTTTATTTTCCATTTTGGTTGTCCTCAAAGTACTGTGCAATTTAGAATTCACCTTCCATCTGACTCTTAAATTTTAAAAGATAAATTCACTGACTTAGTTATGATGAGCAAATGCTCATGCATTTGCTTGACAACATGCCTATCAGAAAAGCAACTCAGTTAACTATCCACATTTCACAGGCAAGGAGCCAGGGTTGAGAGAGAGAAAATGAAAAGTTTATGGCAGCTCAACCCCCAGTCTAGTGCTTTTTTTTTCACCTCCACATGTGTTATTCCCCCCCCCTTCAGTCAACATAAGAACAATCAAATATAAATACATGTGGGTTTTTTCCATCTTTGTTTCATCAAACAGTAAAAATAGGTTGTAAACATACCTGGGAAGGTACATTTATATCCCTCCTGTGGTTGGAAATTCTGAATTAATTGAATGTTTATGTGCCAAACATCACGAGGATAATGAAATAATTAAATTGAGTCCCTGTGCTCTGGATTTATTACCAACTTAAAATTGGATAGATTATCCAAATATTTATAAACATATAACATAAATAAATGTAGGTATCTTATATATTTATATATTCACTGTATATTTCATATTTTTTATTCTATAATAAACATGAATATATACATCAATCTTGACACAAATAAGAGTTTGATAGAAAGAGATTGTCTTCTGGAGGGACGTCCTGGGCTGGGGGGTTGCAGTGGATGAAAGGGAGGTCTTTTGAGGTGCACTGAGCAAGTAGGCAATAGAGCAGTTGGGCACAGTTCTTCACCCCAACTCATTCTACAGAGACCAACTTCCCCTAGTCTCCCTCCCCCTACTTCCCACCTCAGCCATGGAGACACCCTTCAGGTGTCCTGCCAAGGAGGAATGAAATGTCTTACTCATCTTTTGACCTGTCCAGGTTGGGAATCTCCTATGGTTCATTGGATTACAATATTAATAAAGACCTAGAGACCTTTAATGCACAGATAAAAACACCTTCCCAATCTATCAGAGCAAGAAGTTAGCAGTTGCCCATATCTTCTTTTCCTAGCGTTTAGTACAAACACCTAGGACAGGGGTGGGCAAACTTTTTGACTCGAGGGCCACAATGGGTTCTTAAACTGGACCAGAGGGCTGGAACAAAAGCATGGATGGAGTGTTTGTGTGAACTAATATAAATTCAAAGTAAACATCATTACATAAAAGGGTACGGTCTTTTTTTTTAGTTTTATTCATTTCAAACGGGCCGGATCTGGCCTGCGGGCCGTAGTTTGCCCACGGCTGACCTAGGACCATCTGGAGTTCCCTTTTATTCTATCACTAGAGGCCCGCTGCATGAAATTCATGCACTTGGGCTGGGGTGGGGTGTCCTTCAGCCCAGCCTGTGCCCTCTTGCAGTCCAGGACCCCTTGGGGGATGTCCACCTGCCGGCTTAGGCCGGCCAAGCCAGCAGGCGGACATCCCTCTCGTAGTTCTGGACCCCTTTCTTTTTACTGCCCGCCTTCTTGCTGCTCCTAACTGCGCGGCTTGCTGCTCCTTAGTGCTGCTGCAGAGGCAGGAGAGGCTCCCGCCACTGCTGCTGTGCTCATCAGCTGTGAGCCCGGCTTCTGGCTGAGCGGAGCTCCCCCTGTGGGAGTGCACTGATCACCAGGGGCCAGCTCCTGCATTGAGCGTCTGCTCCCTGGTGATCAGTGCGTGTCATAGCGACCGGTCGTTCTGCCGTTTGGTCAATTTGCATATTAGGCTTTTATTATATAGGATTTCCCCAGGGGCTCTGTCCTTTGCCTTCCTGGTAAATGGTTCTCTTCTCCAGCCCAAGTGGGTTGTAATGAGTTTAGAAGTCTCCTGAAGGCAAAGCCCTAGCATAGCACCAATCTGGAGATGGTGGAAGTCAGTCTAAACTTTTGGGCGTCAGCTTTTCAGGGGAAAGAAAGTGAACTTGACTTGGAAGGTCCTTCCCTCTTTGCTCTAATAGTCTATGATTTTATTGTTTTAGTTGAAAGCTCTTAACTTAAATAACAATGCTGTTCGTTGTGGTTTCTCAGTTATGCTTGCAATTCATAGGAAATCCTGACATCATAAAATTCCCCCCTGTGTTGCCTCTGTGAGACAATAACAGCATTTCAAAATTTAATCAGCACCTCATTTACTGTTGAGCATGACCATTGATTAGTGTAATGTTCAAATGTACAAAGAAAATCATCTATGTTTGGGTGCGGTACTAAGATCATTGACCTGGTTGGTTGCCCAGGAAAGTATGCAGGTACCATGAGAGAATGCCACCGCAGGAAAAACAAAAACAAAAACGTAGAGCTGTCCCAGGGCCACGGGCAGGTGGGAACTACCAGAGAATCATACATTCGGCACATATTCAATGAGCACCTGGTGTAGGAAAGGCACTAAGTTAGTGCTGGAAAACATCCTGTGGGTTTTATGGCTTAGCTATTAAAGTAGTTATTTAAAATACACAAATAAATATATAATAAGAATTTCAGGTTGCAGCAAAAGCCAAAAAATAAAAGAGTCTGAATATTTCGAGATTGTGTACTAGTTCCCTCTTAACCAAGGGGGATACACTCTAAGACTCTCCATGGATGCCTGAAACCATGGAAAATACTGAAACCTGTAGATGCTGTGGTTTTTCTGTATATACATAGCTTTTCACTTAAATGATATCCAAATTGCCTGCATCACTACTGCTACCGATGGCTTTGGAGCCATTGTGACGTAAATGAGGGTGGTGTGAGCACAAACACAGCAATATGATAGGGCAACAGTGGGCCTGACCACTCAGATGGCCACGCAAGACTAGTGGGTGGGGAGTACACACAACATGGGGACACTGGACAAAGGGATGATTCACATCCTCTGGACTGGACGGAGGCGAGTGGAGTGGGATGTGTTGAGATTTTATCACACCACTCAGAAGTGTTTATTTCTGGAATTTTCCATTTAATATTTTGAGATCAAAGTTGACCACGGACAACTGAAACCACAGTTAAGGGTGGGGTGGGGAGGGGACTGCTGTACCTCCTAGGCATTTGTTAAAATGCAAATTCTGACTTGGCAGGTTTGGGCAGAGTCTGGGAGTCCATTTCTGACAAGCTCCCAGGTGATGCTGCTGCTGGCCCACAGAACACACTTTAGATAGTACGATTGTAAGAGGCAATATCTAGGAGGAGGACCTCATTCATAGGAGGTCAGATGAGGACTCTGTCTGTCACTTGAGGGCTTTCTGGTTTCCTAACTTCAGACAGGAGAGGTCAGAAACAAAGCATCTTTGTACAAGAAAGAGTCCTGTGGCTTAAACCTTGGATTCCCAGGGCATCCAAGACAGGAGTGTGGCTATTCCTGTTTTGAAGAGCTCTTGGGACAAAGTCTCCTACTTCTCCTGGCTGCCCATGGTAGGCAAGATCAGAGAATCAGAGCCAGAGGGGAGCCTAGACATCTCTCAGTCCATCAAACTATTTTTACAGAAGAGGAAACTGAGGCACTCGTGAGTCAGCTAGTGGCAGATCTGAACCAAAGTTCTCTGGTGCTCTTTCCACTTCCCCAGAAAAGTGGCTATCCTCAGAGGCCAATAATAGGAAAGCTCATTCTTCCCTCCTCTCCCCTCCCATTTGGAGATAGAAACGCAAGGTACAAAGGGATGATGGCTTTTAAAATTTGCTGAGGACTGTATGTGCCCTGGGTACTATGCTAAGGGCTGTCCATTAGTTTCTCTTTGGCAGGTGCCTCTCATCCTAGAATTTTCTCCCATGTCTTGCCTGGGGATCTGGATCCTGGCTGGGGAAATGTGAACCATCTTGCTCAGTGATTTGGCTTTGAGGGGAAAAGTATGTAGGCTAGACACAGGCACAAGCCAATGGACCCTCAAGTTGTCATTCTCAGCTTCACTGAGTAGCTCAGGAAACTTCATCTCCATGGTTACCAACCAGCTACACTTCCTACAGTGTACCTCTTTAGGCTTAGACTCTGGGTGTCTGATGGGTGCCTCCAACATTTCTGTGCATGGAGGGAGGAACTGTCACATTTAACCTGCTCATCCAGGTGAAATGACCCAATCCCAATCATCTTGCCTACCGAGGACTCTGTTTCCTCATTTCCTTTAATCACTGTGATTACAGGGCTAATTATCCTTCCCTCCACTGAGTTGTTGCAGGCATGATAAAATGTTATATATAAAGTGTTAGTGAATGCTTGAAAATTGTACCTATTTTGGCTACTCTCTTGATCCTAATGCTGTGCAGGGGAATCGGCTCCCAAATTTGCTTTTGACAGAAGATGCTCTCTTTGATTGAAAATGGCCAAAGGGAACTCCATATCCCCTTCTTTGCTGGCCTCACGCTGTCTTGTAAGGTGGGTCATAGAGATCTTTGCCAGAAATGCCTCTTATTTTCAAGTTAACATGACTAAGCACTTAATCCTCTGAGGTTAAATGCCTTATTTTATTTGGCCTTTACTCCAAGAGTTAGTGACTAAACAAGACTTAGAGAAGTGACTTAATGATTACAGAAGGCCCCACAGATAGTAAATATTGGGGAGAGGATTCAAACTCAGGTGTGTTGAGTTGGATGGCATACCACAGTGCCTTTCTTAGGGTAGGGCAGGATTAAGCTGAGGCAGAAAAAATTCTCCTGGGACATTATGAGAAAGTGGATGGAGGTCATAGAAAATCCCCAGGAGAAAGAAGATTTGTATTAGCAGTCTTTGTCTTGATATGGTTAGTGAAAGTGGGAATTGGGCCCTAACCGGTTTGGCTTAGTGGATAGAGCGTCAGCCTGCGGACTGAAGGGTCCCAGGTTCGATTCCGGTCAAGGGCATGTACCTTGGTTGCGGGCACATCCCCAGTAGGTGGTGTGCAGGAGGCAGCTGATGGATGTTTCTCTCTCATCAATGTTTCTAACTCTCTATCCCTCTCCCTTCCTCTCTGTAA